AAATGGTCCGCCAGTGCCTTCATATCCATTAAATCTGTACAACCTCAGCTAAAAGGCTATGTAAGTCAATAAACCATATTAATTGATAAAAGTATTGAAATTGTGTGATAAATTAATTCACATTTTGTTTTGTTTTTTTACTAGGCCAATTTAAAATCGTATTTGATTGCAGAGCTGCAGGCAGCGCGTATTCGTGCAACACATCCTCTCACTCATCCCTCTCTCACTCATCCCTCTCTCGTTCTCTCTCTCTCTCTCTCATGAACACAGCAGCGCAAATCAGTCCAACACAACGCTGTCAATGTCGGAGACCCAGCTTAAAAAAATTTATTGGCAAGCATGTAAGGAGCCGAGCTAATAAGGAGAGCTAAGTTAATGTTCGTATACAGCTGGGTTTTCGAGGCTAACACGCTGTATATAGCTAGTAGTCAATATCGACATTTTAGATCTATTTAAATAGGATCATGCCAACGACGCACCCCCTGCAGCTGGTCCGTTTTCAAAGTGTTAAATGACACTGACCTTGTGTTTCATTGTAACAGAATCCCAAGACATGTCAATGCTCTTGATCGGGCCGAAGGGGGCAAAGGCCTGTCTGATGGTGTCCTCACCAAGCTCATAGTATATGGAGCCTACATACACCCGACACATGATGGCTAGAGCACGTTGCCGCTGAGCTGCCACCTGCCAACCGAGGGGAAAAAAAAACACACGATAAGCATTAGATGGTAAAAAAAAAAAAAAATCAAAAAAAAAAAAGGACAAAACACACATACACTAATAATAAATGTGTATTTTCTATTGTGCTTGCTTTCCCCAAACATAGTTTAGAGGCCAATTCCAAGTTAGGGGGTTGGACAGGTAAATGGGGTAATAATGGGAATACTGTAATCAATGGACAGAACTTGTGAAAAAATAACTAACATGTAATTACAATATGGCCTCTAATCTGTTACTATTGAACAGACATATGGAGGAAAACACACTGAAGTGATTGACATGCAAAGCCCTCACAAATATTTTGCTTCAGTAACTGACCTGTAGTCCGGGGATGCAAGTAAGGTAACAAAAGTAATCGTGGAGTTCAAACGAAATCCATACAAAGTCTTGATGAAAGTATTTCAAACTTTCTTCTCAAGTCTAAGGGGAGGGATGGTTTAACCACTGAAGGTTGCTGAGTTTTACTGATGCCTTTTTGTCAGCCTGCTTCAGTTAATTTCATTGCATTACCAACAAAATATAACGTGCCTAATTCGTGACATAGTGGAAAGCTGCCTTATTCATTGGCAGATAAAACTTGACTTTGAGATGGCCAAAAAGATCCCTGTTCCAGCAGTTCTCTCATTTTGGTCCTTTAAAGGGATTGCTATCCCTCTTTCCTCCCATGCCACTAACTTTGTATATTTAAATGTAGCAATGCATATTTTTCAAAGAGACGTGACTTTTCTCACATTTGTAGACCCTTTATAAAAGTCCTTTAAAAAGGCTGTTAACAGCCAAAGTGCTTTGGCAATCGTCTTGTTAAGAAATACTAATGCAAATAATCCTACTGTGACTCTAGAAAGCAAGTAATTTGCTTCAACGATTAACATTCATCTCACAAGCGATTACAGACATGGTCGCAGGTACACTAGAAGTAGAAAGCCATGATTTCTTACAAAATATGCATTCTTTTGTTAGATAAAAGGGCAGGGATTGTTGCCAAAGCAACCAATAAAAGAAGGGTAACAGTCCTTTTCCATTGGGAATGCGCACAGAAAAAAGGATTTAATAATCTATTGACCGATTGTAAAGGTGAGAGAGGATCTCCAAAGCCCATTGTCACTGCTGCCATCTGAAAGACAGTAAAGATGAAAAAAGTGCTGAAAAGTAGGTTAGATATCCCTTAGCTTTGCTTTTTCAAAACTGTCATTGCTTTGCTAGATAGACAAGAGCGGTTAGGCTAACACTATATTCAGACACTCCCTCTAAACAACATACAGTTTGGGGAGTTGCCTCCCCTATCTAAATTACAAGTTACAATTTACATAAACAAGTCCCCTTTAAAATTACAAAGCATTTAACATGAAAATCAATGCCTTCATGACGATCTTCTCCATCTGAAACAGAGCAGAGGCAAAAGAAAGCGCACAGGGTCTGCATGGTGGATAAGGGAGTAAGACTTCCAAGAGAACGACATCTGAGTCGAGAGATGTCCGAGTTACTAATGTACGAAAAGGCTAATATATTCTGTCTAGAATCAAGACTCACAGGCGACACGCGCATTACAAACGTTTTGTTTGACATAGCACCATTTTCTTTTTTTACACATCTCACCTGCAGGTTGGTGAGCTGTTGCTGCTGATGGGCGATGGTCTGCTTCACCAACACACTCTTAATGCTTTGTTCCATGGCATACTTCTTTGCCTGGGAAAGAAGAAAAGTTATTCCTTATTTGACCAAACATGTGTTGTGACATCATTACTAAGACTACATTTTGACAGATACTGTATCAGTACATTCACGTGCACACAAGAGCATTCAGAGGAATCAGACTATGCAGGGAACTGGACACAGTTACCATGTTCTGTAGTAACCTAGTTTCTGTAAATTCACATACATGCAGCAAGTTAACCATTTGGAACTATGGCTTACTCAATTTAGTGGAAACCAACTTGTGTTAATTTCAGTCAAACTTTGGAAGACATTTTAAACAATGAGCATGCATTTTTATGTGCAATGTTCTCTCCTTTGATCAACCCATATCTTTGTCATGCAAATACATGCAATTAAAAGGCTAATTAGACACCATGTTACACTTAGAGGGCCAAGAAACTGGCTTTATGCAGGAGGACTGTTACCTATCAAATAAACTTAAACGAGCAATTACATAATCACTACAAGTACATTTTGCAAGATACTGTATGCCAGGGGTTTCCTACCCTCTGAAGTGCCTCCTGCTGCTCTGGAGTGAGAGGCGGAAGGCCAAGCTTGGAGCCTGTGCCCTGTCCATTTTCCATCGTCAGAGCTTCACCTCCCTGCAATTCAGAAACAGCAGTTTATTTAAAATAAACAATAAAAAAAACTAAGAAACAGAGTCTGGAGCATAAATACCTGCCTGTATGTACATCCATGACTACTTTTACCTAGTAGGAAAAATCCTGTATTGCAATAAGAAGTCACATCACCTCATGTAGCACAGGTTATCATTAATATTCTAGCATAATCAGGACATACACCCGAATTTAAACCAGGTGGGACCGGACGAACTCCTTACCTACGCAACCCGCTAATCGCTGGGTCCACCAGACTGAGGCAGGAAAGCCCCCAAGGGGAAGATGACTGATGGGGGAGCTTTAACAATTCAACAAATTCTAGGGGAAATAAAAAATGCCTTCAGACTAACAATGAAAGAAAAGGCAACTAGCATTATTTTACATTGCAATCTACACATATCCAACCTGTCTTTCCTTAAGACTTCGGTCAGCTAACGTTAGCGTGATGAATGCTAATGGTTTTCATGCCAACATACGTTAGCTAGGTAAAATACCGTTAGCAATAACGAGCTGAGATTAAACATTAGCCGAAGACGTGTTTAGCTAAAGTCGTTACGACACGCTGGCCTTAACTGCATAATTCTTACAACAAGCAGTACAGTATCAGCGAGGCCTAGTTTCCATTTAGCTTAACGTTACGACAACGACATCTTTGTTGCTAGCAAGGAGCTAGCTAATGTTAGGCATTCATTACTATGGCGCGCAACGGAGGCTGTATTTTCCCCAGTGCGATATATCGTCGATTTACAGGATATTTAGTACAGTTAAAGTTTTTAGCAAACATCGCGTAATACTTACGCAACGACCACTGTAGCTGGAAATGGTTATTGTGTATATTTATCAAAGAATTTAATTACCGCAGTCTCCGTAACCGCCATGAAGCACACCTTCTTGGAAAGGCCCACACACCGCAACACTCGCGAGATCTTCGCGGATTCACCGTAAGATATCGCGATAGCTGAAACCTCGCGATGATAGTCATGGGATTTTCATCGGCTACTGTGACCTGATTAATTTCTGCCAATGTTTTAATCAAATCCTGTATTTTGTAAGCCTGCTGAATGAATTTTTGTAGCTGTTTACCAAAAATACGACCCTCATAGATACAGGACGTGTCCCAAATTTAGGTGATCACATTCCTGAGGTAGGATCACAAATGAATATAGGTTGTGATTTTTAGACTCCTAACAACACCCAATCTGTCAATACTTCAGAAAAACTGGATAGTGTTGTTCAATCTCTTTTCCCAACAAGAATTTAATGGGGTATGTTACCCAATTAAAAATATAACTCATGGTCTGGTAATTATTTTATACTGTAATCTGTATGCTTGTAATGAACCAACCATGTTTGTTTTTCAATGTTTGCTGTTCCTGTTAGTAGCATATCCAAGATGATTTTTTTTGTGTTTGTTCAGTATGTTTGAAACATTCTTGTTATTTGCACACTTTTGCTGATAATGTTTGACTCAAATGGTGCAAAACTACAGTTTATTTTTCTCCCAGTAATATATTATTTTTTGTAGATGGATACTCTTTTCTAAGACCTTCTTCTAAATGTATTAGCCTGTACGCTTAAGAAACTTCAAGATCTACTGTCTTTTGCTAAATCTGTTTAATTCAGCAACAGTAAATATAGCTCTGACATTCTAACTGTGATATGACAGATAAGTGAGAGAATGTATTAAGTGGTATTCATTTGCTACAGTGATTAAAGTATTATTATAGAAGTATTTTATTATTATGTGTTTTACCAACTGGAAACTGAAGACTAAATAAACAAAACTAAATAAAAATAACATTAATTAACAATAATATTCTAACAATGCATTTTTAGAAAATGTGTTGACGTGAACATATACTCAAAAAATATACTCAATATGTACTGGAATATGTCTTAGAGTAATGAATACAGAATGACCAACATCAAATCCTATAAATAAATCCTAATCATTTCAGACACAACCAACATGTCACATATTATTTATTGTCATGTATTTAATTGCAGTAGCTACAATATTAAACAGAGGTTTAAGTAGAACACATCCAAAGGCAAGTTTCATTCAACAGATTCACTGGGGGAAAAAAGACATAAAATAAGACCGATATGGACAGGTTTTTTTCATGTTTGCACAGTCTAAACATTCATTTTCTTGGTCAGGTCCCCTCCGGAACTGTACTGTCACTGACAAAGGCAAAATGCAAACTTTTGAATGGTTGCAGGCTATTAAGACATGCAGCTTACAAGACCAGATGAGAGCAACTGTGGCACTGCTTTGCATTGAAAGTCTGTCTAAAAGTCAACCCCTTTAATAGCCACAAACAAATATTTACACCACAGCGTCTAGTAGGTGAATGATTTCAGGGTTCCTGTTTTCAGAGACACACTGATAAGAAGGCTTGACACAGAGTAGAGTAAGTAAGTACTGTAAGCAATGACTGTACAGCAGTTTAACTGTTATGAAACCGTGACGTTACAGACCAGGGAAACAAATGAAGCAGCGCTATCTGAGTCTGACAAACAAAGAGTATACTGCTGAGGACAATTCGCTTTTTTTGTTCAGGAAAAATCCACCCAAATGGTAGTCTTTTACTGGGTTCTAGCAGAGCTGAAGGGATTTATTTCTATTTTTGTGCTTGTTTGGGCTGCAGTGCAATCAGTTCACACTGATATTGCCTGATATATAAATACAGTGGGTGTGATACTGGGAAATGACCGTGTTTAAAGCAAAATATTTAACTCCTCTATCAGATGATTTTTTTTTTAATCACCTGCAGCTTGCTGTTTACGAAAACACTAAAACCACACATTGTTTAAGTTTTTGGGGTAGATTTTTCCTTTAAAAACCTCTAAAACACATTTACAAAACAAATTTGGTGTTAGAAAATATCGTCAGATTTCGGAAGTACCTTAAAAATACGTATAGCAGTAATATTTATCAACAATATGGCAATTTTTATTAACAAGTTTTAAGATCACAACACCAACCTTTCCTCCCACTTATATAGGACTTCACAAGCTTCACATAAAGTATTCCAATTTTTGTGCACAAGCTGCAGCTCTTTCCAAACTAATATTGACTGCAGAGAGAGCGTCATCACTTGATCCATATGTCCAATATACAGTGGGGCTGCAGCTGTTAATGGAGTTGCCATTACCAGGTGTTAAGCTCATCTTCACATTCACTAAGACTGACTGTGTGGACTCATGATAAGAGGTGGGAACTAGTCTGAATCAATGCATCTGGTTTTAAAACTGTCAGCATGAATGAGTTAAATTACAAATTGCTAAGTTGGGTGTGATGTCGTTTCATTAGGAAATTTTAACCAAAGTACATTGCCATATCAGGCACTTTGCAAGTCTTTGGCTTTCAGAACACTTTCACAGGGAAAACCCTTAAGAGCACTACAGGCTGAAAGAGAGGCATCGTCTCATTGCTCATCACTACATTTAAGCATGGCGTGTTTAGCTCTGGGAGAAGTAGCCTTTAACCCAAGAGTGCAGTGAGGTGTGTTAACTTTCCAGGTCATTGAAAGTAAAGCCAAAAAAGAACATGTGCAAAGCATCTATTGTTCACAGTTAAACAGAAATAAATAAGTCGACTAGATGAGTATTAACAGTGCATGTTGGACGGGATATTGAATTCCTAAAACTGTAATAAACTGAAGGTTCTGGCTTGTAAGGGAGAGAGGCTTTAATAAATTACTTTGTTTGCAATCAAAGTAAATAATCACCAATCAAAGTGGACATTGTGAGTGCAACGCAGCTTATGAGCAATAACACATCCTTCTGAGAACACAGGTGCTGCATTTGTAAGTAAAACCTATCCGTTCTGAATAGTGGCATTATGGAAAACCTAGGTTGTCAAGATATCTTAAGGCATGACAGCCCTTGTAGGCAGGGAGTTTGTCAATCTTCCACTGCTTTGTGGGATTGCTGAACACAGCCATGATGCCTCTGGTCCTCCAATCAGAGGTGCCTTCGGTTCCGTTCACATTGCTGGCGTTTCCTCCTCTCTGGGATGGATTACTGACTGTCAATGCCCAGCGTCCTTCTGTATATGTCCTTTTTTATCCCCTGTTGGGCCCTCTGTTCCCTCAGTTTCCAGCTGTGTGATCCTGCCTGCTGCCCTCTCCCTTTCTTGATCCTTGTAGTCAACGCCCGGGCCCCTCTGTCTGGGCCAGCCGCTGTCGTGAGCCCTCCTCACTGTGCGCTCTCAGAAGCGAGTGCTCGGACCCGGTGTCTGCTAATGGCGTCTTCCAGGTACCCTGCTACCTTCTCACTGTCCTCCTATAAAGCACAGGGGATATTTTTAAGAGTAGATTTAAAATGCTAATACTACCTAATGAGTTCCTGTTTTGTTTATAAATGCAAAAATCAAACCATTGTTGTTGATCAAGAAAAAAAACAAAGAAGCTTTTATATCTACCTCATTTATGAAGGCGTAGTGAACAAGTTCACTGGCAAGGTCTTTGGAGGTGTCAGCTGAAAGTTTCAAATGAAATATTTAATTTACAAAAAATATGTGATAAAAAAGTGAGTATGTTTTTTTAAAAGGATAAGTTGATTTTTTCCTCAGTTTTTCTTATTGTCAACAAATCCCATAAAAAGACCAAAAACCAACAATGAATTGACTTGACTGACAAGTATTGTCTGTGTAGCCAAAGCCTAATTACCATCAACATGGGCACAGTAATTTTGGTCAATTCTACAAATTCGCCACTGAAAATAGACCTCAGCAAAAGTAACATTTTGAGTATTGTCTCTAAAAACTAGTGATCACCTGTTTTAGGAAAATACCAAGCATGGTTGAAAATTTAAGCATATATTGGGGTCCCATTTTTAAAGATTTATGTCTTGGCCCAGAGAGCCACAAACAGGTTGGGGAAGTCTGAAAGTAATGAGAGACAGACTGATGCTTTGGTGGTTTTGGTCTTGTAGACAAAAAGAAAAATATGACAAAATGCTGGCCTTATCCTTACTTACTTGGAAGGATATCACAGCTTAGCTGCCTATGAAGTTTGTCATCCATCTTCAGAAACAAAGAGAGCTAGGGAGAGATCAAAAAGTAAATTTAAGTCAAGCTGGATTTATGTTTAACCACCATAACTGACTGAACTTCTAAAATAAATGTTGAACTCCACTGGTTCAGAGACGTTACAGGCTAAAAGACCAACATACTCGATTATTAAAGGAGCCCAACAAGGAAGGGTAGGGTACCTGTAATACTATGTGACTCACATGAGTTTTGGTCCCTTCTTCATTTGACTCCAAATTACAGTGCATCTGAATAACCTACAGCACCAACAGACAAAAAACAGTCAGAGAGTAATAAACTCGGCAAAATGGGAAATGTAATATTAATGAGTAATAATAATAAAAAGACATGCACATAAACATAAGGAGGTCTTTTTGTGTGTAAACAACTTCATTGGTACATTATTATGTTGTATTCCCAATCTTGTATTCTAGACATATTGCATATGTGGACTGTAAACATACACCGCCTCCATGGACATTTTACCCTCTCCAGCATCACATAAGCATAGTTTCTGCACGTGGTATAATAATTAATAATTATAAACTTTATTTATAGAGCACTTATCAGAACAAAGTATAGAGTGCTTCACAGAGACACAGAGAGAAAGATTAATGAAATAAGACAGTGAATGATAAAATACATGAGGGGCATAAGAAATAGCAAGACAATAAAAATAAAAAAATAAAAGACAGCTCTCATAAAAAACAATGTAGACATGTGGGCAGCCTGATTGTGTGTCTACCACTTTTGTGGTGACGTCTGAAAGTCTAACCTTCCTTGTTTCTGTCTCCTGGGGTTCAGGAGTTGGCGTCTTGACCGTCTCAACCTGCTCCTGAGACAAGGAGAGGGCACGAGGGACAGGGTGAAGCCTGGACGAGGCGAAGTTCATCAAGGGGTAAATCCCATTCCTGAAGAGAAATTTTTATTTTTATTTTGTTTCATATTTTGTCTCATTACTATCTACCCGATCTTTCTCTATGTCAGTGTTTTGTTAATTTTGCAAAGAGAAAAAATAATGAGGTAAAAGTATGGTTTACATCTTGTATTAGTTCCTTCGTCATTTCAAGGTTCACGTGTGTTGAACATCATGCTGCTGTCACAGGGTACTTACATTGATACAAAATGAGCTATATACTGTTGTCCCACTTACTTGACATCCTCCAGAAACTTGTCAAGTTCCAAAGGGGACACGTGGGAATATCTATAGGACATGAAGAAACACACAGAGGAGCACGGTGAGTGTTGGGCCTGACATGTCACAGGATATTCACCGAAAGCTACAAGTTTCCTGTGGGATTTTACTTGAGCTGAACTCCCTGTCTGTCTTCATGTTTAATCTCTGCCATGACAGCGTTGGGGTCAAAGGACTTGGTTTTCTCCTCCACACAGTTTTCTGGAAGCAAGTCTGTCGACGCAAGATCAGATGGAAGTTTGGAAATTAGTGAAAAAAACATATATTTACATTTTTTTTTGTTTTAATGTATATTCTGGATTACAACAGATTTGTCTTTTAAAATTCATTGCATGAACTACTGGTTAAGATGACAAAGTCTCTTCAGGTGGACACTCCTTCAGCTCTGCAGTAATAAGCACGCTACAGGAAGTCATTCTTACCCGCTGCAATTAAAATATATAATCACTCTCCTCTTGGCAGGGAGAGGAGGCTTATTTCTTCTGAATGACAATGCACATTCTACACTCATTTGTACAGAGCTTTACTCTATTTATGTATAGCACAGTAGTGGAATGAATTTGTACATTTTGCTATTTTTATTTTTTATCTTTTAACCTACATCATGCTTGTTTGCCACATACCTTGCTTGTTTTCCATTCAGGGATGAATAAAGTATCTATCCATCTATCGTCTTTTTTTCAGACCTTAAATTATTCAACAATACGCTGAGCTAGCAAATATATTGTATGACCCACAATAAATCACACTGGCTCCTCAACAGGTTAAAATATGTTGTATTATTGGGTTTAAGAAGTTTAAATTAAGAATTTAGCATGAAGCAGACACATACCTTGGGTTCAGTTCTAAAAACCCGCTTGGCAAACACCTGGAAGTGATGAAATAGATCTGCTGCATGGTGGAACAAGTAAATATCGCAACAGAATGTTCCACACTTGGCGTGCGGAGGTGAGAAACTCACACTGGTTGTTGATGAGGCAGTGGGCGGCGAGCAGTTTGAGGGAGTGGACCTCGAACAAGACTCGGTGGAACAGAAGGTCGTGAGCCGTAGGACGGAGCTTGGCTTCGTGGCGCAAACAAGACTGGGTGAACTCCTGCAGAAAGCAACAGTCCAACACATAACGACATGACTGTACAGTATGACCCAGTTTACTTAGCATCACTCTGTATCTGGATTTTATTCCTGGCATGTTTTACTGAAACATTCACTCTGAAACTGTACAAATAAACCAAAAAGCAAGGTGGTATGTGTAGGCGAGTGTTGAGGGAGCAGTGTGGGAAAGTTTGCCTTTATCTTCACGTTTCCTTGGTTGCACTGGTGTATATTTAGGAAATGAAGTATTCGTGAGACTCACTCTCATGAGAGGATCTTCCAGAGATTGACCTGCATTGACGATGGCCTCCTTGGACACAGCAATATCTCCATTGGCCTGGATCTCCAGTACTGCCATCTAGGAGTACAAATAATCTGTTAACACAATCACACACACACATACATACACACACACACTCACAAAGAGGGGGAAACTTGATCGGTTTCTCTCACCTCTAGAGCACAGATGCCAAAGGAGAAAATATCGATGGCATAATCATCTTCGCTGGCTAGAACAGACACAGAAATGAAGAAACAAAGATGAGGGAGTTGAGACACTGATGACATGAAGGAGAAGTTTACCCCAAAAAGAATATATTGTAATTATTTATTTTGTTGTTTATCTCCATCCAGCTCTAAAAGTAGTACAAAAGATTCCTTTAAATGATTTGTGGCCTATAGAATTCACTGTGACTCCAATAATCCTGACCTTTACCTCTTTGTGTACTAAAATTGCAGTCACAACTCTCTGGTGGAACATTATGCACTCAAAACATTTGGATTTTGCTGCAAAATGCTTATTTTAGCGCTATGAAAATATCCTGTTGACGCTGATGGTGTGGGAAAAGGATAACATAGAACGCCAGGGGCTAACTTGCTGTCTTGTTTGGTGGATTTTACCAATATCAGTGGAGTTTAAAGTCACATTAGGCTTAAGGAGGTAATGATTGAATTTTCACTTAGGGGTTAATCATTCAGTTAAAAATGACAGAAGAGGGATTTGTTAGAAATCAAGCCGCAGTAAGCTACTCACAAACTACGCTCCATCACTTACATCCATATTCTGGAGCAAAAAAGTGAAGATTCCTCTGCTCATCGCGATGCTGCCTTCCTTTGCCATGGACACTAGCATCTGGAAACACTGGTTAGAAAAGACAGAGACAACATGGACAGAATAGCTGAAATAAACTTTTAGATGGGACACCGATGAAAACATATCCACTACAAAAGTATCTATTTCTTACCATTAACAAATAGCCGGTGCCACACTGTGGGAAGAAAATTAAGCATAATTGAGATATTTATTCTGTTTAGTCAAAGTGCAGAGATTAATTTAGTAAATCCAGAAATCCACAGTCTCTGCAGTCCACAACATGGGTGGCCCCTGCAGGTTGTAGTAACATAAAAAGCCCTGCTGGGAGCAGACCTGAGCCGATCTTGATGAGGCCGTTGTGCTGAATGAAGATGGTGTCGCACGTCAGGTTGCCATGGATTATTGGTGGGTCGCAAGAGTGCAGATAACTGCCAGCAAACAATTAAATGTCTGGTTAATGTGATGGCTTTTTTAATAGAAATCTCTCATGATAAAATCCTGGGGAGGAAATCGGTCAGTACCTGAGGGCAGAGAGAATCTGGGTGCACCATCTCTTCCAGGCCTAAAATGTAGTGTAACAGAGCAACATAAATCCAAATTTGCTCCACTGAGGGCATATGGAAATTTATACCGCACTGTAATACACAACAATACATTATTTCTCCCTCATTCAACACAGCACTGTTTTGCAATTTATGGCTTTGCATTCTTGAATGCAAAACAGCAGATGTAGCCAGAAGAGGAAAAAAATGAGAGGAAAATTGAGGATAAAAATCAGGTTTCAAACCCACAATGAATGAGATATATGCCTGAACAGACTTCAGCCTGTTACATCATCTCTAATCCTGCTGGAAATATGGATCTGAATAGTGATTGGTCTGCAGTGGCCTGTGCCACCACAGGAGTAAGCACACCAATCCAGTATGTGACCACTAACCTTTACATTCATAGTCTTGTGGTTCTTCTTAGTTTTCTTCAGAAATTGCTTGAGGCTCCCCGACGACATGTATTCTGTGATGAATATAACCTGTGGGCCACAGATGGAGGAGGGAAAACAGTTCATTCACAAGTGTGAAGAAAAGAGAAGAGGGGAGAAAGAAAGACCGGGGGGATAAAAAAAAGACAATCATACCCGCGCCTGACTCTCCTTCATGTCCAGCCAGTACTTGTGGAACTTGACAATGTTGGGATGTTCCACCTGCATCAGGTTCTCAAACATCTCTTTGATCTTCTCCTAAAAAACACACATCGGAGCTGGTTCACATCTTTACATTACATCATGCACCAATTGAAGTCATTAAATACTTTAGCCATTACCAATTAAGCTTAATCTATTAGTCAATTACATGATCAGTAAATTCATAGGCAACTATTTAAATAATCAATAAGTAAGCAAAAATGTCAAAAATTTACCATTACAAACTTCTAAAATGTTCATATTTGCCGTTCTCTTAGTCTCCTTGGCTAATTAACAGAATACTTTGTGTTTAGGACTCTTAGTTGGACAAAATATGCAACTAGCAATGCAATTAGGCATTTTGTTACTTAAAAACTTCTTTCTTTTTTTTACATTTAATAGACCAAACTGTCACAATACAGTATCAATAATAAAAATAATCATTGAAGACCTCCATGTCAAGGTCCCGGTGAGAGTTCTGCTGGAAAAAAATAATACGACTCAAAATATGAAATTTATGTATGGAGGTTTTCAGGGATGAAATAAAGCAGTGTTTATATATATATATTAAAAAATCCCCAATAAACTTAAAGCACAGGGTGAAAATCTGATTAAAATACTTTTGGCTGCTAGTAAGAAAGCAATCACACAAATTACTGCAGGTAAACCCTCCAACAAATGGACTGCAACTGTAACTTTCAATGAAATAACATGTAAGGAAAAACTGACTTTTGTCTTGAAAAATGTGTAAACTACTGGAAAAATTTACTGTGTATGAAATTGAACCCATTTTATGTCATTGGAAGACCCTGTTCCTGTACAAGTATCATGGTGCCCATGGCAACACTCTCATTAAGCTCAAAAATAGCAATAAAAATTAAGTTGGAAAGGAAAACAATATAATCATTAGTTGCAGCCCTATTTAACTAATTCTAGTCACTCTAAATCCATGGTTTAGTTAAATAACAGTAAATACTGGCTGATTTGGCTGTATGGCGTAGGAGCCACAATACCTCCTGTGATTTGAAGACCTTCTTGTCAGAGAAGAGCACCTCATTCCACACCACCTCCACGCCCTCCTCTGTGTCCATGGCCAGAGAGGCACTTTCCACGCCTGGGACATTACCTTGGCTCACCTGCAGGAGGCAGACAGAAACAGTTCATCTGGTAAACCTGTTAGCAAACAGTTGCTTATTTACACACCACTTAGCATTCATTTGGAGTAGTGTTTGTCTCCATCTGACGAATACAAGTTCAATATTCACTCTGATCTTAGCTCTGTTTTTGGTCTCCACCAGTGGTTAAACGCTCCACTTTGTTCACCAGCTACTCGCTAACTTTGTCTGGCCACTGTTTGGTAACGACTTTTAGAGCGGCAAGAGTGAACCAAAACAGTTAAGTTGCAGGCCTTAAAACAATGAGCTGAACACAGAACTGAGGAGAACTGAAATTAGACTTCACCCCTGCTGTGACTGTATATCTGCTAAAAGCTCCATATAATGCACTCAGAGACCTGACAGTGGCAGCTCTATTAATAAAACATTGAATCTATTGTCTATCAGGCAGTATTATTTCTATTTAAACACCATCAAATTCAGTTTAACATCCATTAGCGCAATGGAAAGAATCAGGACAGATGAAATATGAATATCTATGCTCAGGTTATTTTAAATGCTGCCAGCCAGCTATAACATGAGGATGAAGAGTAAAGAGGGGCGATAGGAGGAGGGATGGAGCAAACAGTGGAGTGGAGTATAGAGGCAGTGGCTGAGTCTATAATCTGGCAGACGCACACAGCCCGAGGCTGCATCAGCATTTATGCCACAGCGGCAAAGAGCTAAAGACTGCTCATCACAGGATATTGCTCCCTCAGTGTGGACTCTATGTAACCTCCAGATACTTTTATGCAGCAAAAGTGTTGGTGCAGTGAAGAGGGAGACTTGATTCGTGTTTAAAGTTTATTGCTAACTAGTGTCATCCATAATCCAATCAAACAAGACCCTCAATTCCTACTAATCCTGGATTTCGTGAAATTATGGAACTGGCGTCACTTACAGAGGAAGGCACACGTCATTAGATTGAGGTCTAACTATGCAACAAGGAATCTTTCCCAACTCCAGGACCCTGACCTTTTCTGATTTCCTCGTGAGGAATAAGAAAGTATTAGCTCTACATGGAGAACACAGAATCTTTGATCTTATCCCAAACTGAAAACAACCATACTGCAAAGGATGTGCTGCCAGGCCGCGAGGACATGGTGTGATTCAACCAAAAACTCCTAATTAAAAAACTTTATAGGCTATTTTTGCTGTATTACCTTGAACTTGGCACTGTCTGTGCTGTGTTTATCACAACATACTGATTTTTTAACAGAAGTAGGTAATCAAAACACAAGGTTAGCAGACTGTCATCACCACCTTTTCAGCAATCTGTTGTACATGTTCTGCTAAAAGCTTTGTTTCCATGCAAACCCCTTCAGCTGGCTGCTGATGTTGAGTGATTTTATCAAGTCAGCCCTCTAGTCACTACTACTGCTGTCTCTCGGTCATTGCCCAAAACCTCTTGCTTTTGTGAAACAGTGTGATGACACTTTTTTGGGGTTGAATGCATCTGAAACTGGATACTTAATTATTGATTCTATACAAATCAAACATTATGTCACAGAAACTCTCTCAGCTTTTAACAACAGTTAGTTGACTATTGACCTCTACTTTTATTTGCTGGCTCAACAGCAGATGAAAGAAAAGTGAGGGACAGTTTATTGGTGTCAGACAGGGATCTGGGTTCTTATTGTGACCATCAGAAAATCAACGTACATATTAATTGAACCATACGGACCACATCTTAACAAGTGAATTATCATTTCTGCCTTCAGGCCGCCACCATGTTCTACCTGGATATAAAAGTAATCGTTATTCCATGTTTTTTATCCCACCTCCTATATCGGTCTTCTAAATTATAATGTCTTTTTTTAATACAACTACTTCTTCATACTTTGTGTGTATTAGATATGTATATAGATAATTTTGTATTTATATACACAGTACATAATACATAGGTTTTACATCCTCGGCTCGCAGGTGTCTTTTTGTTCTTTTTTTTTTTTAACCAGCAGGCACATTTTTACGTTTCTTTCCATCCATGTATGTCTCCCTGTGAGTACACGATACAAGCAAAATCAGGACTCATTCATAAAATCTTTGCTTCATAGTGTTACAAGTGGTCAAAAACTCCAGTGTACCTTTAAATGACTGGAAGTGAGCAAAAACAAGACAAGGATGTAAAGTCACTCCTTAAGATCTCCCTAAGGGGCTACAACCATGAAAACAGCTCCTGACTCAAAGTATACACAAGTTCAGTGGGTCAAGTGAATTGAAAAACACACAGTGGATATCTTTCAACCAGCTGTAAAGTAAATCTACAACATATTGCTTGTTGAGACCTGCTCTGTAACAATTTCCTGTCGTTTAATTTAATAAAACGTACTTCTTGCTACTTGTTCGCTAGGCTCTAACTTGAACCTGCATCCCCAATCTTTCATAGCAGAGAAATGTAAACTGGGCCGTATACAAACATTTTAGAAATGTAGCAAATAAGTAATCCCACCTGACACTCTACCATCATCATGTCTGTGGTCTTAAAATGTCAGCTGGGTGTATCTGATGAATGGCTGAGATCTGACACAGAGCTTGATGACGGGGTAGCGACTGAACAACTATTATTTGTGCTCCTCTCTGCACCTCAATTCCTAGTTATTACTTCTAAATGCTAACCATTGACATATTCTACAGAGCCCCCACTTGTACCACGCTTCATGACATCATCTGAAACTCGGCGATGAATGGAGTCAAAAACGTCTTTCTGCATCCGGCTCAACAGGAGGAGGCTTGTTAACCAAAGCAAACTAGCAGAGGACAAACAGCAATCAGAGCAGCCACAAAAGCTGCTCTGATTTTGTATTCTGATTTTTCAGACTCCACAGATATTTGCACGAAATAAGACAGCCTCAAGAGAAAAATGTTCCACCAAATGTTTGTTTTAGCCACTGTGGTTTGTCTATTGCTCAACCTACAGGACAGTGCAGCTGCAAAGCTCTCTGCAGGCTTTTCTTTACAGTCAAGGTGGGTAGCAGGGGGAGACATGACATATAATCTCACTCCTTCTGCTCTACAAGAGATAATAATCTGATTACTAATATTACAGAGCTGGAACATAATCCTCTGACTCGCTAGCAACAGAGGGAATTCCTTCTTTTCGATATCTATCAGGAGGGAATCATGTCAGTTTCCCTCTGGCATCAAGGCTTGGCTGTTGTTTATGTTCTCTAGATGTTGAGAAACACTCAGTCCCCAGTCCCGGCAATGTGTACGTCCCAGGGGTTGAACGAGGTCTGTTGCCTAGTTGTGGTAGCGTGAGACTCGTAAACAGCACACTGGATGCTCAGCTGCGATTGGCTGCTGGAAGGGAGGTGGGTTTTAGCGTGTGGAAAGGGATTTAGGGATCGTGTGTCTATGTCAAAACAACACCAACTTCTATTCTGACGTTTGTTAACTCTGCATCTGAGCCGGCTACAACCGGATCCTGAAGGCTGTCACACTAACCTCTCATTACCTCGCCGCACAATTTATTTCTGTGCATATTTTGACTAGTAAAGGAAAAATACTCATTAGATATTTCAAGTAGCGATACAGAGAAAGCACACCACAGGGAAACCTGTTAAGCTGTTGTGAAATCTGTTGTAAGAGCTTTTTCAGCGCAATCTGGTCCATTTTCATGACTGCCAGCAAAAGTAGGGCAACAGAACTCTGGCAGGTGTCTGATCACTTCCCTCTATTCTTACTTGCAGCGTATCACTCTGCAATGGTTAAACACTAACAGCTACTGGTAATGTGCGCAGCATTATGTAGCTCCCATTTAAAGCCCCAAATAAAGGTATAATATCATCTATAAAACATGGAAAGTTAGAGAGTAGATTCTGACAGATCCTTATTGATCAGCACAGCAGATTACTCACAATCCACTGGTATGACATGTCATGTATATTAGTAGAAGTGTTGCACTTCAGGACCAAAAAAGAGCTTAATGCCCAGGTTTAAAACGGGTTTGCTCACCAAAATCTATCAGAACGTTCTTTACTCTTTCACTAGATATTTTTTGTGTTTAAAGCCATTTGGGGCATTTTATGCCTTAAACATAAGTACAGAGATTTGACAGGAAAGGAGGAGAGAGAAAGAGAGATAGGGAATGACATGCAAAAAAGGTCCCCAATCAGACTCCAATTGGGGATGATGCAAATCACAGTTGGCGCCTTAAACACCTATGACACTAGGGAATGCCCAAAACACTCTTTTAATTAGAAATGTTCATTAAATGTTAGTACAGGTGAGCAAAATGCACAGACGCTTCTGCTTCTGACACCTTCATTTTGTTGTTTACTGTGTATGGGAATTTCATTACTGTCGTTTTCTTCTAATGTGTTTGTGCTAGTCTTTCTGGGGTCCAAAAATACACAGAGATGACATGGAACAAAACATTTAGACAGTGAAAGACTGAACTAGTAGATACCGCAGGAAGAGATAAGACAAGCCAAATTTAATCATAAGTTGTATATTTACAGTTATACGTATATACATATCAAATTATTACCTGAAGTACTGTGAAGTGCATCCTCAGTGCCTTCAGTATGAAGGCATAGTTCATAGCAATGCAATCAGTAATGCAGTTTAAGGCACCAACTGTGATTTGCTGCAAGTAATGCAGTCTAACAGCCCGGCAATAAATTCTACATTCATCAAGGTTTAAATGTTCAGGTTTTGTTGTGTTGATTCAACTGTGTGGTCATTTTGTAAGCGGCAGTTTGTGCTGATGTTGAATTGTACGTTTTGTCCACACTATTTATATCATTGAGGCTAGACTTGAGGGAAGTGCAAATCGTCTCCTCTACAACATGATTACGAACGTTGGCTGGAACATTGCAGTGACAGTTGGACTGCCCAGAATCAGAGAAGGATCTTTTCCATTTGGCACAAGGCCAGCAAATTATCTCAAAATGAGAAAAGGTGAGTGATGAGTCAGCCAGAGAGAGAACACAGAGGGAGGATTAGGAGAGGACTAAACTGCAGTACAGCAGCTCTTT